AAGCAAACACATCAACAAACTCTCCAAGCAAATCAATGAGCTGTTTCTTCATATCGGGTTTGAGCAGAGCTCCAATTTTCACTTCTCTACGGATTTCTTCTGATCCCAAATTGATTACTTCTACTGGCTCTTGATGAGGTTGGATAGCTTTCTCTTCCTTCTCAAGCAGTCTGAAAATCTCTTCTGGGATATCATCTTCTTCGTCTTCGGCTTCATACACAGAAAACTTGAAATTCGGCGAAGGCAGTGGGTCATGATTCCCAGGATGTATTTTATGTAGCAATCTGCGCAAGTGATGTGATTTTTAATAAGTTTTTGTAAAGTGGAAAGTGTGTGTATGCGAGATGCTACTTGTTATTTTCCAACGTCGTAAATAAATAAAAACACAAATAGGGATGAAAGTAATTTATTGATGATAGTAAAACCAAAAGACACGCCCAACAGAGTCACCTTCGCCTTGGGCAGAGCAAAGGGAATTATTTAAAAGTAAGCCCTAATAATGCAGTTTCGCCTTAGGTAGAGCGAAAATTTAAAAACAAATGTTTTACTTAGATATATGAATGACAACAGGGGCTTCAACCGCACTCCAATTCTTAAGCACAACGCCTGGGGTCACAAAGTCCGGAAAATCCTTATCTGAATCTTCCTCGGTGACAGCATAAACTCCAAAGGTATAGTCAAATTCATCTGAAACATAGCCTGGATCTTCCATATAGGGCTCGTAGTCTTCGTAAGGAATGGAGAACCTTGCAGAACCATCTAATATGTAGCCTTCAAGTTCATCCTCTGACACAACATTAATTTGAGGATGATGGACGACTCCTCCACTACGGAACACTTCATTAATCAGCGGAAACCCTTGACTTTTGGTAGTTTGTTGAGCAGAACTGCTGGTGAAACCAAGACCTTCCTTATTTTTGTTCTCTGGCAAAGACAACACCTTTCCCCAAATTGTATGATGACCACTGTTCACTACTCGCTGCGCGTCTTTAAATGATGACATGGATGCCTGAGATTTTCGGACACCCTCACCCACAATAGACAAAGCTTGAAATTACGTGCCAACCTCTTCCTCAGCTTCGACATACGAGAATGATGATAAGTGACTTACCACCAAAGCCCTTTCTCCACAAACTGTAACTGTTTTTCCTTCAAAGGCATATTTTAATTTCTGATGCAGGGTAGAAGTGACTGCCCCAGCTTCATGTATCCATGGCCTCCCTAACAAACAGCTATAGGCGGCACGAATGTCCATGACTTGAAACGTGATCATAAAAGTCTGCAATCCAATAGTCATCGGCAAATCCACCTCACCGATTACCGTTTTCCTTGACCCATCAAAAGCTTTGACAATAACATGACTTGGCCTCATCGGCGGTCCCTGATCGGATAGCTTAGATAGTGTAGTTCTAGGCATTACATTTCGAGAAGATCTAGTATCGACCAACACACTGGATAAAGATTCGTTTCCGCAGTTCACATAAATATGTAAAGCCATGTTATGTTTCCTTCCTTCTTCTGGGAGATCAGCCTCATTAAAACCCAGATTGTCACATGAAGTAATACTACCAATGATGTTGTCAAAATGCTCCATGGTCACATCTTGTTCGACATACGCTTGTTCTAATATTTTCTGGAGCGCTTCTCTATGAGCCTCAGAACTCATCAGCAACTGCAACACATAAATCTTTGACGGGGTTGGCAGGAGCTGGTCTGCGACCTTGTACTCACTCCTCTTAATCACTTTTAGACATTCATCTGAATTGGATAAATTGGATCTACAAGGTTGCCCCACAATCGGATCCTTTGAGCCTGGTTGTTCCAATGAGACCTCTTTTTCTTTCGGCGTTACAGTTGGGTAAACTCGACCACTCCTTGTTACTCTGTTGACATCTGCAATGTTAACTACTGAAGGCATAGTGGGTGTCGTACCTCGAAAAATACGATCCTTGCGATGGACGCGAAAAATACTGTTCGAAACAGAGTCGCCACCAAACTTTATTCATACCGAGGATGGAATAGGAAAATATCGATAAAACCTTTAAAGGGATAAGGACATGGTCATCGCAACCAATGTTCTAAGTTCAGGAGTCGATTACGCAGAGGGAAGGTATTAGCACCCTCTACGTCCGTTGTACTCAACGGGAACCTCTTGATCGATTCGAGAGTAAAGTTAGCTACGCTTGTTTGTTTTCTTCTAAGGTTTCTCCTAAAGGGAAAAGGGTGGTTTTAAGATAGGGTGCTCGCCAAGTATTGGGGCCCTTGTGCCTACGTATCTTCACTTGTAAGAAGTGGAAAATCAGAGCATTCATAGTTCGGGGGACTACGGGAAAAAGAGGGGATTGTGCTCGCCAAGATCATTGCAATCTTGTGCCTACGTATCTTACATTCAGAAGTGAATGAAGAATCAGAGCAGTCGTAGTTCGGCCAACTACGGTAAAAGGTTTGTGTTTGGAATGAACGAGAGTTTAGATCGCATTCTAACTGCTAAACGTTAGCCTGTTTGCTCGCTAGGGGAGACTGAAGCTCGAGTTTGTTATGCGCGGAAGAATGGACTAAACAATGTTCTTTGGGAAAGTATTTAGGTTGGAGATCGCACGAGGGCGAGGGATTTGTGTTTATCGTATTGGATATTTTGGTTAGAGGATATATTTGAATAGGTTTAAGGTTTCGATTGCGCGGGGGCCAGAAAGAGGAGTTTAGTTAGGTAATTTAATGGAGAATGACGACTACTCGATAAACGAGACGTCAGTCTCGCAATCAATTAATCGGGGGATTATTGGAATGCTAGATTCCAACGACACCTTTTTCATTCGAATAATTACGAAATATGTTTGAAATTATGTTGAGAAACGAAAGAGTGGTTGACCAGCGACCTAAGAGCGTGCCTTAAGAGCTCGTCACTCAAGAATTCAAGGAATGCGAGATTCCAAGAACTCTATTCTTTCGGAAATAGTTTGGGTTAGAAATCGCACGAGAGCGAGGAACTAATGTTTTGAAAAGATTCAATCGCACGGGGTCGAGAAGAGAGTTGGAATGGTTGAAAATTTAGGAGAGGATGACGACTACTCGATAAACGAGACGCCAGTCTCGCAATCGATTAATCGGGATATTATTGGAATGCTAGATCCCAATGATATCCTTTTCACTCAATTAATTATGAAAGTATATTTGAATGGACAATTAAGGTATTCGTCCCAATAGTTGGGGCATGTATTTTATAGACGAAAGGTCGAGTAATCCACAACCTAAAGCATACGCCCCAAGAGTGGTTACTCAAGAATTCAAGGAATGCGAGACTCCAAGAACTCCATTCTTTCGTAATTTTAATTAAGAAAATAGTTTGGATTTTACGTATAGTTTAGAGACATACTAGGGTTTAGACTTGATCGCACGAAGGTGAAGAACAAGGTTAGGCGGTTTGAAAATTTAGGAGGAATGACGACTATTCGATAAGCGAGATGTCGGCCTCGTAACCAATTAGTCGGGATATCGTTGGAATGCTAGATCCCAACGACATCTTTTTCATTCCATTAATTATGAAATATGTTTGTTGGACAGTAAATACTTGTCCAAATAATTAAAGGAGGTATTTTAGAAACGAAAGTTCGAACGACACACCATTCAAGGCGTACGCCTCAATAGTAGTCACTCTCGAATTCGAGGAATGCGCGACTCCAAGAACTCGATTATTTCGTGATCTAATTATGAAAACAATTTGAAAATATTAGCGTACTCGGACTAGGCGCGCTAGGTATTCTAGAAATGTAAGATCAAAAGGATCACAACTCAAGGTGTGCACCTCGAGAGCGGTTGCTTAAAAAATCAAGGAAGGCGAGATCCAAGAATTTAATTGTTTTGAAATTTGATTAAGAAAAATAGTTTAATTTAATCAAGAAAATAGTTTTAATTTTCATATATAAAATTAATTAATCAATTATAAAAAGTTTTGAGAAAAGCTAATCATAATTAATTGTTTTAAGAAAAGTTTAATATCTTAAAAAGAAATTTGACTTAATTTATAAAGCATATTTTTTAATACTTAAAATATTATTATAATTAATTGTTTTGAAAAAAAAAGTTTAATATCTTAAGAAGAAATAAGTTTTAAATAAAGTATAATTTTCGAAAAGTTTAATATTGAAAATATTAATTTGGTAATAATTTTGAAAAGTATTTTATTTTAAAAGAATGAATATTTGGAATTTATTATAAAAATATCTAATTAATAAAATTGATTTAAAAATATCTTTTAGAAGCTTTAATTGAATTGAGTGAAAACGGTTTTGAAAATCGAAAAATGGAACAACCGTAACTCAAGGGCGTGCGCCTCGAGAACAGTTGTTCAAGGACTCAAAGGATGCTAGACCCCAAGAGCCCACTACTTTTGATAAATTAATTAGAAAAAATATTTGTAATAAAATCAAACTAACTCATCATAAATTTATATTCACAAATCCAAATTAAACCAAAATAAATATAATGATTCTTGGGTCTAGTATACATGTTTTAGACCACTTAATATTTTATTCTAATTGTAATTTATGCAATTATATAAAAAGAACAAATCGATAAAAGGATACTGATGGGGAAGTAGCCGCCTCCATATTCCGCCATCTTATTCTCCCAGATCAGCTCATGCCTTGGTGATTAGCAGAATTCAGACACAATATTTCACCCAAAACCTGTCGCACTGTTGAATTGAGCATATCAATGATTATCGACACATCTTCGATGCTTTATCCATGCACATCCGACCCTGCTACACACTTCTTCAGGACACTCTGCAGAAAGTTGTTGAGTTTTGTGAATGAAACGCAAGTTGTAGATGCGTGACGGCACACCGCAGAACAAGATGTGAGAGCTGCAGAAAACATGTTATCATTCACAATATGCTCGCAATCGAGCTGTAGTTTGCTGCTGTTACCGCTCGCTCGCTGTTGCCCGGTGAAAAGCAACGTGTTGCAGCTTTTGAACATCACCGACTCCAGGTTTGCCATTTACTTCAAAACCGTTAAATCAAACTTCGCCATTGCCAAATGATTTGAAGCCAACAACCGTTTTAACTTTAAACTTTCTGCTCTCTTCAAAGAACCTCTCAAAAGAACAAACAATTGTTGCTGAACAGAGAGAGAAATACCCATACTAGTAAATGGTGAATATGATGACCCTAGTATCCCAGCAATACTTGATATGCCATTTTCAAATAGCAAATTTGAGATAGCTGCTAAAGTATATGCAAGACAACTATCACTACTGTGTTGCTGAGATACACGAACTGCTTCAGTCAAAACCTCTAAAGCCAGCTTTGGATGCCCAAAGTGGAAATGCATCATCCCCAAACATAATAAAGCAATTTCATATCTTCCAAAGCTATTACCACCAGCCGGAGGAACAAAATCAAATCCTTCATTCCCTGCATATTTTTTCAGTGATATCAGCTTGTTCTTGCAAGTAACCCTGTATCTGCCAGTTTGTGTGCAAAAACACTGCACTGCTGGGATCAACATCCTGTACCATGTTACTTTGAGGGTCTTCATAAGAACTAGCTCCTCTTACTTTACCACTCTGTTTGGGATATGCTAGCACACTTAATAGCAACATGATTATACATCACAGCCAAAAAAAACATAACTCAAAGTGGTCATCAGTTCAAGATTATCATAATATTCCAAACTGAAAAATGCTAAAAAAATATCTAATCGAAACTCATATATACAATCATAACTAGCAGCAACAAGTTTTTATCATGAATTTCTAATAATATAAACAAAATCCACAACAGTTGCAATAAGCTCAAAAATAAAAAATGAAGTTAAACATTGTATGTCCTATCAACATAATACATTAGATCATCAATAAAATCAGCATAAACTCACCAACGAAACACAAGCACATTGACACCAGCCGGTATCGCATGAATTAAATCATTCGCATTCAAAATCGAACAACACATAACAGCAAGATACAATCGAATTGAAATTCAACTATAATATCAACAACATAACAAATGACCAACTAACAATCAAAAAATAACAGAAACACAATGATGTTTCTTCAGCCATATTCATAAATTATCATAACATAACAATCTTAACCGAAACCACACAGAACAGCTCAAAGCAATAAAGCGGCATCAGAAATATTATCGACAATGAGAAAATATCAGCAACAATCAAACATAGGCAGAAGATGAAAAAATACACCAACCAAAAATACAAGGCCGCTGAGTTGCTCTTGATGTTGTTGCTACAAAGTTATTATTGCTTCTTGGAATGTTATTGTTGTTGTTAATTGTGTTGTGGTCAAAACGAAAATCAATGTCAAAACTGTGACAATTTGCACTAGCCACCAGCTGCTGTTGTCGTCGCGGGATGTCGAATAGGTAAGACTGTAAGCTGGTTCTGTTGTTGCCGAGTTTGATGCTCAGTTGAATACAGAGAGTTGCTGGTGAGTTCATGTGAAAATGAATCAATGTTATCGATGCGTGGACATTTTGGCTTCAACTTGCGGTCATGGTAATCTTGAACTTTGTTGTACCTTCCTCTTAATGTCTTGTGGAGTCGTTGTCGGAGTTGTCGCAACTCGGCAACATTGGCAATGAAGAGAGGTTGATCTCGGTTGAGACATAGGCTTTCACTACTACAAACTACTATGTTGTTAATGAACTGCTGATGTACCGCATCACCAGCTTCATCATCATCATCTTCCGCTTCGTCAGGGTCCTCGTTGTTGAAATAATTAACTGGATTTGGCCATAAATCATCCTTGATTAATTCTGCAGCCTCATCATGAATGAGGTCATCCAAATCTTCTTTCTCTTCGGTGTCACTAAACCAGGTAAAGAAACTGACATCAGAAGTAGCTCACTTGTTCCCTTTCTTTTCTTGACTAACTCCATTAGGAATGTCCTTGCCCTCTTTCCATTTAATGGGAGTAGCAGTAACCTTGGTTGTTCCTTCTTCAAGGAAGGTAAAAGTCTTTACAAGCTTTGTATCCTCAAAATAGGGATTATGATTAAAGTTAAAGGTGATTGAATAGCCCGACTTGACATCTTTATGATCTTCAACCTCAAGAGAACTCAAATGCTTAAATATCTTCTGATCTTCCTCATTCAAAAGATCACCAAGAACAGGATGGCTCAAAGAAGCGGTTAACTAGAAATCAGGAATAGACTTGATAAGATTATTGTGCTGATCATACAGGGGCTTCCTTATCTCGTTGTACTTCTGCTCGATTTCCAGAACTTTATCACTAGCCTCCTCAATGATCTTTTCGAGCTCATCTTGCATTTCCTGCAACTTTTCAATGGAGAGGACAAGTTCTCCGTCGATTTCCTCGGCGTTCTCGCTCTTTTCAGAAACCTTCAGTTTCTTGCTCTTGTCGGCCACCATCGTTGTTGTCGTTGTTCTGAATGAGAGACAGAGGGTCTGTTGTGTGCAAACCCTAGGAGACAAACCTCGTTCTGGTCGAGTGTGTCTAAAGTGAAGTTGTTAGGGTTTTTGAAGGGAGACGAAAATGGCGAGAAAAACGGAGGAAGGAAGGAGAGTTGGAGAAGAAGGTTGGGGTGATGGTGATGTTGATAATGGTGACACTAGGGTTTGGCGGCTAGGTTTCTCAAGATTTTAGGGTTTTTGTCCTCCCGGGAAGATGAACAGTAACCTTCCCATTTATACTCAATTTCCACAATCCTCAATGCCTAAAATATCTCTACCGTGTCCTATTTTCTTTTCAATTCTGATCATCTTTTTTTAATTAACCTCTCATTTTACTAACTTAATTAACCAATAATTAATTACACACTAATCAAACAAATAATTAGCATAATCTAATAAAAACTAATATTACATAAACAATATTATTAACATATTAATATAAACAAAAAATAAAAATTGAAACTAAAAGAAATGACTTTTATATTTTTTTTAGAAAGAAAAGAAATTGATATTAACAAGATACTGAATAAAAGGTGATAAAAATAAAAATAAATAGTAATAAGAAAAATGTGGGTAAATAATAAATCAAAATGCTAAAAATTTAAAATAAGATGAAAAGAAAATCCTAAAAAAAATGTTCGTAGAGAAAGTGACTAACGCAAAATAAATAACTCGGAGAAATGCAGCATCATGTCGAATTAATTAGAGGTCTTACTCAGACAGCTTGGGCAAAGTTTCAACTAGTTTGTATGTGGATCCGAATATTTATTATGGCTAACCAATCCTTTGAATTTTATTCAAGATAAAAGACATGAGACCATGCAGGCGATGCAAAACCAAAAAATAAAATCGAATGCGAAAATATTTAAAAAGGTAGGACAAATTTGGGGTATGACAGATGCCCCTATCTAATTGCCTTGAACCTAAGAGAATGAACTGCTGCATGGCATTCATTTTTAGGGTGGAAGTCAATTAGATACAAGAAGACCCCGAAATTTGTCCGACATGCAAAGTGCAGAGATTAGGTATACCAGAGTGGGATGACAAGATGCAAAATAGATGAACGAGATAACCTGATATTCTCTGGGTGGTCGAAGCAGTCCCTTATCCAATAAGGTTCCTCGCAATACCAAAGTTGTATAAACAAACCTCTTTGGATGGTCGAAGCAATCCCTCATTCGTTAAGGTCCTTCGCGAAACCAAAGTGGTGTTTCTAAACACGTGGGATTCTTCGGGTGATCGAAGCAGCCTCTTATCCAATAAGATTCTTCGATGATGCCAAAGTAGTACCTCTAAACACATGAGATTCTTCGGGTGGTCGAAGCAGCCTCTTATCCAATAAGATTCTTCGATGATACCAAAGCAGTATCTCTGAAAACTTGAGATTCTTCGGGTGGTCGAAGCAGTGCCTTATCCATTAAGGCTCTTCGATGATACCAAAGCAGTATCTCGAACAAAACTTGAGATTCTTCGGGTGGTCGAAGCAATACCTTATCCATTAAGGCTCTTCGATGATGCCAAAGCAGTATCTCGAACAAAACTTGAGATTCTTCGGGTGGTCGAAGCAGTACCTTATCCATTAAGGCTCTTCGATGATACCAAAGCAGTATCTCGAACAAAACTTGAGATTCTTCGGGTGGTCAAAGCAGTACCTTATCCATTAAGGCTCTTCGATGATACCAAAGCAGTATCTCGAACAAAACTTGAGATTCTTCGGGTGGTCGAAGCAGTACCTTATCCATTAAGGCTCTTCAATGATACCAAAGCAGTATCTCGAACAAAACTTGAGATTCTTCGGGTGGTCGAAGCAGTACCTTATCCATTAAGGCTCTTCGATGATACCAAAGCAGTATCTCGAACAAAACTTGAGATTCTTCGGGTGGTCGAAGCAGTACCCTATCCATTAAGGCTCTTCGATGATGCCAAAGCAGTATCTCGAACAAAACTTGAGATTCTTCGGGTGGTCGAAGCAGTACCTTATCCATTAAGGCTCTTCGATGATACCAAAGCAGTATCTCGAACAAAACTTGAGATTCTTCGGGTGGTCGAAGCAGTACCTTATCCATTAAGGCTCTTCGATGATACCAAAGTAGTATCTCGAACAAAACTTGAGATTCTTCGGGTGGTCGAAGCAGTACCTTATCCATTAAGGCTCTTCGATGATACCAAAGCAGTATCTCGAACAAAACTTGAGATTCTTCGGGTGGTCGAAGTAGTACCCTATCCATTAAGGCTCTTCGATGATGCCAAAGCAGTATCTCGAACAAAACTTGAGATTCTTCGGGTGGTCGAAGCAGTACCTTATCCATTAAGGCTCTTCGATGATACCAAAGCAGTATCTCGAACAAAACTTGAGATTCTTCGGGTGGTCGAAGCAGTACCTTATCCATTAAGGCTCTTCGATGATACCAAAGCAGTATCTCGAACAAAACTTGAGATTCTTCGGGTGGTCGAAGCAGTACCTTATCCATTAAGGCTCTTCGATGATACCAAAGCAGTATCTCGAACAAAACATGAGATTCTTCGGGTGGTCGAAGCAGTACCTTATCCATTAAGGCTCTTCGATGATACCAAAGTAGTATCTCGAACAAACCTTGAGATTCTTCGGGTGGTCGAAGCAGTACCTTATCCATTAAGGCTCTTCGATGATACCAAAGCAGTATCTTGAACAAACCTTGAGATTCTTCGGGTGGTCAAAGCAGTACCTTATCCATTAAGGCTCTTCGATGATACCAAAGCAGTATCTCGAACAAAACATGAGATTTTTTGGGTGGTCGAAGCAGTACCTTATCCATTAAGGCTCTTCGATGATACCAAAGCAGTATCTCGAGTGATAATTTTGCTGAGGAATAGTTGAGCTAAAATCCCTATTAGAGGAACAACGTCGTCCAAACTCTGCAGGGGTGAAATCTTCAACAAACTCTCTAAGATAACTTTTGCTTGGGGAGCCACCAGAGCAATAGCTGCTGAGGATTATCATCATCAACTGCATGGTTGAAGAATGACTTGCTGGGGAGTATAATTCCCTGAACTCGTGGGGTCTTAAACCCTTTCAGAGTCATACTGCCAACTTCACTGAAGGACTGACCAAGATGCTTGCAAAC